GGCCCCTTATAACTCCCTTCTGATAGCACAAACACATTAAATATTCAAATCATCTTATTTCAGAAATTCAGAAACCGTACGAAAATTCAGCGGCATAACGGCAATGTACGGAATTTACACAAAATTCATAGATTCAGAAATTTTCCAAATTACCACAGAACATTCACAACAACATTGTAAGACTTTCATTGTACTAACAAAATATTTTTCAACATCCTGATAATTTGCAGTTCAATTAAAACACCACAGAATCCAAAATATCCGGTAAAAATCTTCCGGAAAATACTCAAAACGTGCACAATTATTATATTAGAAACATATCAAATGTTACGCGGTAAAACCTTTGTCAGACAAAAATAATACCAGAAATTCGCTAACGGAAACAAAATTCGGAATAGAAAACACGTCAAAAATCTCATTTCTGAAAATTGAGAAAGGCAAAATGTGCTTTACCTCAAGTCGGTCAACTTCTTTAACTACGACGACGAACGAAAACGGACGGAAGTCGCCCAAAAATCCACTTTACATCTTTTTCCTTCGTTTTTTCTCTCTAATGGACTTTCTCTCTCTTCAAAATAATTTAAATCAGATATTTAATACACAGGATCGTCCCGGATGATGACCTGTTCGTCCCGGGACGATCTCCCATATACACAGATCGTCCAGACGAAATTAAATGCCAATTTTGTCGTCCCGGGACGAAACCCTCGGGTTGGTTCGTCCCGACTGTTCGTCCTGACACCTCCAGGTTCGTACAGACGAACAGACATATTCTTCACAATTCTGTACAGATAGTCCTGGACGATGTCCCTGATCGTCCCGGACGATCCTGGGAGAAACAACCTTTACCGACATTTTAGTAAAGCTTTGGTGAGTTGGAGCCGACATCTGTAAATTGTCCAAGTCGCCCCTTGACTTATGTTAGGTGAAAATGCTAAAAACATACACAATTAAAATTTACACTCTTTTAAATGTGTTTCTAATGCAATGGATGTTGATCAAAATACTCAAATCATGAATGCTTGAATTTTAAAAAAAAAAAAAAAACTTAAAAATAATTTTTTAGAAGACTAGGCTTCCCCAAGTTCAGCACCTCATCCTCAAAGGTCGGATTATCTGAACTCTATCCGCATGTGAGAAAGAGTCTAAAACAAGGAAAGAATAATTCATTTATATGCATGCGACCCCATGGGCGGTTATCGGCTTATTCCCTAGATTTGTTACTTTCTATGTTATTTAAACAATTAAAATTTTAAATTTTAGTTACAAATAGAAGAACTTTCACACCCTTACGAGTCTCACATATCCAGGCTAAATCAAAAGTGTCACACAAACACCAAAAATACTAGGAAAAATAGGCAATCCTACACATAATCAAGTCAACACATCAAATATAATCAAACTAATTAATAAATGTCTATAGACAAATTGTCTTACTTTTTACAACCCAAAAATGCAGAAATTAAAGTGATCGGGTATCACTGACAAGAATAAAACATACCTAGACGAGCAAATTAACGAGCCGACCAAGCAAGGGAGAGATGATGAAGGCGAAGCAGACGTCTCAGAAAGCTTTTTTTCATGAATTGATTTTGACAGAACAGACGAAGTGTTATATTTGATGAGGGCTAGGTCTTTATGATGGTAAAAGAGTAAAAACTAAAATTTAGGTATAAGATAAATAAATAGAGATGTTTTGGGTGTTAGGTATGTAAAATCTCAATTTAAAATTATTGTGTTGAAGTAACTTTTGAAGAGTTACTAAAAATATAACATTCTAATATAGAAATTTCTTAAAAATAATGAGAAAGTAATAGCCTACTAGAACTTTGATTATAATCTTAAAAATAAAACAACAAAAAGTTGTCCCAAAAAACACTAAAACTCATCATATTAGCACCAAAAAAATAATGAAAATGAGTTTTGAAGCTCTTAAATCTACTTTATATGAATAGTAGACAGTGCATCTTGATTTATTAGTTGATAGTTTAAACTATGAACAAAAAGATTTTGAATTTAAAATTTATGCGTGTAATATATTTATAAATTCGCCTTTAAACTTTATATGAATACTCAATCAAAATAAGTATTTTATTTATCTTTTTCTCTTTTTATTTGTACAAAATTAAGATATTAAACTATATATATTTCTCTATCTCGAATATCCCAGGACGCAACAATTAAAAAAAAAACTTTAAATCAAAATATGTATTTTCGTTGTTTTAAGACAAGTCAATAAATTTAAAATTCAACGGTACTAACAAATTAGTTTCCTTTCCCCTTACGGCTCGCAAGCTAATCAGAATACCGGGCACCCTGCAACCACAATCCCCTGCTCCGTCGGACACGTGGCCAGCGGACAGTGATCCACCTCCGTCCCCCACCACCTCAAGCTCACCTTCTCATTCTGCTGCAGCGCGAAGAAGATGAGCACTCCCATGAACGCCGTCCCTGCATCCAGCGCTGCCGACAGCACATAATTATACCTCTGCCACCACCGCTTCCGGTACTGAAATACGAAGTAGTTGAACACCGTTCCGGTGATGAGCCAGCTCGCTATGTTGGTCGGCGTCGCCGGAGGCATTCCGGCGAATCCGTACAATATGACTGGAATGTTGATGAGGCTGATCCACTTCTTCTTTGGGTAGGATTTGCTGAGGATCCAGATGGGGAGGGGGAGGACGGCGCCGACGAGGAAAAGCCAGACTAGCTTGCGGTAAAGGCCGGCGTGACCGAAGAGGCGAGAGGGGCCGACGAGGCCCCAGATGACTGAGGCGTCAAAGGTGACGCGGTATTTTGGACAAGTCCATGGGCTGTCAGAGGGAAGAACATCGGTGTCGCAGATATTTTCGATAGTTTCAAGCATCCACCATGCTACGGCTAGATTGATTGCGCCTGCGATTAGAGTGCCCACAAGCTGTTCGACAGAATGAGCCAATGGTAATGGAAGGCATATATATAACACATTTGTTCGATAGATCAAATCTATTTTAAGCAAATTTATAGTCTAAAAAAGTTATCACCTTTAGATGTAAGGTATTATGAACTTTGCTTACCTGGGCGGCATACATGCACCGTGGGGGAATCTTCATATACTGGCCAAGCTTGAGATCAGAAAGGAAGGAGAGAGCATGAACTGTGCTAATCCTTCCATAGATCTTGAAAAGAAGATTGGCTATCGGCATCCCAGGCAAGATAAATCCGATCATGAACTGCGCTATGATGTCATATCCCGGTTGCTGCATGAATAATTAATCAAATCTATAAATCATTCATGAATCTATTATATTTGAAAAAACGAACTGATTGGTATGAAAAAGATGTTAACTTGGTTGGTTGTAGCTTGGATAACGCCAATGGGGAGAGTGACGAGCCAGGCTAGAGAAAAGGCGAAGAGCATCCCCCACCATGGCAGCTGAACCTGTTCCTTGTACACGAACGAGATCAAGAGGGAGAAGAAGACGCTTCCTGCTAGAAGAACAAAAAACCACCATTGTGGCACCGGTTTGTACTCTTTCATCATCTTCGCATGTATGTTTTCTTCTCCTGCGTTCACTGCCGACTTGCTCTGCTTCCAAATATCCCTACGGGATCACGTGGAGCGATATGGGTATTTTTTTTATTATAATGATGAATCAAAATAAAATAAAATATACTCCAACATAAATACCTGCCATGGAAGAGGGCGACGTGAGTAAGAGTTGCAGTGAACCTGGCAAAACCAGAGCCAATGGAAAGTGCAAAGAGAGGACTGAGAAAAAGCTTTCCATAGCTGTTATAAGCCGGCACGTTGAGCTTATACTCCGGCGTCAAGACTGAAGTCGTATCGTAGCTGTGGCCCGTTGAAGTGAACAACTTGTTGGAGAAAATAGGAAATTTGCGGGCATCGAATGCGTTGAGCTTCCAGTAACAGAGAGGTACAATAATGTAAATGAACATGACGAAGCCGACAGCGATGTTGAGGATGGAGAACCAGGGAGTTATGAGAGGGCTTCCATGATAAGCTGAGATGCCAGCCCAGTCGAAGGTGAAGGCGCCGAGGCCAAGGCCATGGTAGGCGGACCCAATTTGTTGAGCGGTGAGATTGTGTGGCCAGGCCCAGCATACCCATGAGAAGAAGGAGAGGATGGGGAAGAGGAAGCCTGGGAATATGTAGTAGAAAAAACTGGCGAAGAAGAATATAAGGAAGAATTTCATTCTGCTTGGGCCTTTGTGGTGTGGCTCCGTGTTGTCCTTCTCATGGAGAGCTCTGTGTCAATTTAAGAGTGCAGGAACTAGTTATATATTTGCATGGTTAAAGGATTGAGAGCAATGGACCAGAATAACAAAAGAGTGACCTGAAGAGAGAAACTTGAGCAAGGTTAGCTGGCCACCACATGCCTGCTGGTTCGACCAAGTATTTTCTCAACATTCCAGCCCAACCGTAGCCAAGCAGCTGATAATTTAACAGTAGAATTCATGTGACCAAGCTTATTAAAATGAACTGTAGTTGAGTGTTTGGTAAGGGGGAAAATATGTTTAATGAAGATATATCTTTGATGATCCTAATAATTCTGAAGTAAAGATCAATGGGATAGTTGGTTAATGGCAGTACAATTTTTCTACTTATTCAAGTTGTGTACAGGTGCTATATGGCGTACAATTAACTCAAAACTGGATGACTTTAAGGAAAAAAAATTCAGAACTGGAGGACTCATTATATATACAAAATAATAACTTTATTCAACAAGTATGAAAACCATTGGGTGCAGCCTATGCAGGATTGCAATTCTCCTTCGCGTTTGATCAAGGACAATACAATTGAGTCTATCTTCTTTTGTTTATGTTTTTAAACGGAGATAGTTTAGGACAATCAAAGTCTTAGCGATTCTTTTTTTCTCTTATCTTACTCTCTGTATAATCATGACCTTTCTTTCATGTATTTGAACAATGAAGCTTATTTGTTGAAAAAAAGGCTAAGAGAATAGAGAATCTTTAAGACAAAAATTAGCACTGGACAAAATAATTTTTTAATAGTTATCATATAAACGCCATATATTTTTAGCACTGGACGAGATGTTTTTGGAACTTCTGACATAATTTTTTATCAAAATAACTCTAAAACTTTCATGTTGTACCTGCGTGGTGAGGACGATGATGAGAGAACATAGAAAACTGATACTCTGCTTATAATAGGCCTTCATGACCGTAATGGCACCAATAGAATAGGCGTCACCTCCCCCCGACGACACCCCACAGTTAGCAAATACGGTGATGATGACATGCTCCTTAATATTGAACGGTCCCGGGTTGAGATTAAAGCACCAGCGACCGCCGAACAGCTTTACCTCCTTGTTAGGCAGCGTCGCCGCCATGAATCGGCCGATTGGCAGAACAGCTATTTGCATGAGGATGGCCGAGATGGTCATTGGCTGCGTGCGATAGGTGAAGAAGGTGTTGAGGAAGATGAGAATGGCGCATGACGCTATGCCGAGAAACCATGCCCTGAAAGTCATGACCGGCATCGCCGGATCGTCGGTCTCCGGCACGACGAGCGCCACCTCTTCTACGACTGATCTCTGCATTTTCTCCATTCCTCGTTTCCTTTCGTTTCTGCCTCCCTCTTTTTTCCGTTCGTTGAAACAGAGGAGGCAGCGATGGAGGATTTTATAGTAGCCTTTGGAGAAGGAAGGGTATGTTGAATGACGGAGATGGGTAGGGTCCGTTAATGGTGGATAGAAAAGCTGTCGGGAAGGTGGAGGGTGGTTTGGTAATTCGTTGGAGCGAATGGGTTGGGGAAGGAAGCGCTGCGGCCGCGTTGTGGCGGGCACGGGTACGTCGCCGGCGGCATGCAGGGAAGCTGTGGCGGACAGGTCGGGCTTTTGCGGGGCCCATTCTCTACACGTTTTTTGCCCGAGGTGGACCTGCAGGTGGGGTCTTGTGGGGTCCAAATGTACGCTGAGTCAGAGTATCGGTCAACAGGTCAACCTCCTTTCGTGAGTTCACCTGATTTCTAGGCAAATAATTACCTTTTAAAGTATAAAATTAATTAACGGTAAATATTAAAGTTTTATTTTAGGGTTGAATAGGCTTTACAAAGAGAACACTTTAGCCATATAACAAACGGAATTTTTTAAATTAATCTTACTGTATGAATTAGAGGTGTAAGTGAGTCAAGTTGACTCATGAGCTGGCTTAAACACGACTCGATAAATGGCTCGTGAGTCGAGCTCGATAAAGCTAAAGAGTCAAGCTTGAATCAGCCTTGACTCAAATCATCATTTTGTGAGCTGACTCTTTTATGAAATATTAATAAAAAAATGCACATAAAATATATTAGTATTATGGATTTCAAGTATAAAGTTGTTAAAAATATTTAAAATTTATTTTTCACTTCATTGTATTAAGTTTTTTTTTTCTAATTTTTGTATCATTTCATTGAAACAATTGTTTAATTTATAATAATTTTTTCTCTTTTATAATAAACGAGTTAGCTCAGAAGCTGGTTGAACTCGATTAATTAATCAAGCTAAAATTCAAATAAGTGGTGATTCAAGCTCGGAGTGGCTCGTTTTAGTGTGTGTGTGTGGGGGACAAACACCCAATGGCAAGGTAGAGGAGGAAATAGAGCCAAACTGAAACATCCGAGCAATAATCCAATAGCATCAAGAATAAACTCAATAATAGGTGTGTATCTAAAACTTGGTGAGGTGATTGAAGACAAGTTGTCTTGGCAGCTTTGCTACAAAATAATGAGTACATATCATCTAAGCTTTGACAATCTTTAATTCTTGGTAGGTAGAAGGTAGTTTATTGATTGTATATTGAATGATTTCTTTGGAGTCAATGGGAGATTCTACTGTAGCAATCGCATCGACCTTTACTTTTATATTGAAATAATATTCTGACACTGAGCTATCATTTAAATTGATGTGGTGCAACTAGTTTTGTGTTGTATAATACATGAGCCAGTTGATGTTGAAGTCATCTTTAGACAATCATCCAAATTTTAGCATATGTTATGAGATTTAAGACAAATGAAAGTATGGAGATTGTTAGAGTAATGAGTTGCTATCAGATTTTGGTCAATGAGCAACCATGCATTAAAGTGAGGGTTGATTAATAATAATAATGATAATAATAATAATAATTGTGACAACATCTTTATATGATTGTAATATCATTAGTTCTGATTTTATCATGTATTTATTTACTGTTCATTAGTTGAGTTATGGGATATTGATGTGTACATTATAAAAAATGTGAAGCTTCATGAAAAAATTGATGTTGAAGTCATATTTAGACAATCATCCAAATTTTAACATATGTTATGAGATTTAAGACAAATGAAAGTATGGAGATTGTTAGAGTAATGAGTTGCTATCAGATTTTGGTCAATGAGCAACCATGCATTAAAGTGAGGGTTGATAAATACATTTTCATCCTTATTCAGTTGTTGTTAAGCTTGTTTATTGTTGTCCCATTAAGAAAACCATCAAATCCATTATCCTTGAATAGCTTCATAGCTAGAGACATATGAGATGATTCATAATAGTGAGCTGAGTATTCATAATGGATTTGATATTGGCCATAAGGAACTTGAGCAGTGGTGGTATGAGTGTATCTTACATGTTACACCAATGAGGTACTTTAGATTATAGTGTTTGAGACTAATGAGGAGGAAACATTTATGGTTTGCTCCATTAGGATCAAGATTTTTGATGCCATGTGGTGAGACTTTTTAATACCATGTAGAAGATGGTATAAGCATGCCAATACCGAATGATAGGAATTATAAGAAGAAAAATATAATCAATGGAATAGTAAATATGTCATTTAATTTTCTTTACCCTACAAGCAGAGGTATGCGGTATATAAGGGCTTGTGTATATCTTATGTCACATCCCATTTTTTAGCTCTTTTCAGTTAACCTGGAGTGTAATAGAGAAGGAGATATCCAAATTGTGGTATAGAAAATAGCAAAATAATAATAATAATAATTGTGACAACATCTTTATATGATTGTAATATCATTAGTTCCGGTTTTATCATGCATTTATTTACTGTTCATTAGTTGAGTTATGAGATATTGATGTGTACATTATAAAAAATGTGAAGCTTCATGAAAAAAAAATAAATGACACGAGATATTGATGTGTACGTCATGAAAAATGTGAAGATTAATGAAAAAAAAAATGAATGAAAATGCTGATGAGATAAATCATATTATGGGGATAGGCACGCACAAATAAAGACAAAAGACCTGATAAGATAAGCCTTAGAGACCGTACAAGAGGTACATATCTCTCTCTCACTTCTAAAAGTTAAAAATTTGGATCCAATCTTTAATGAGAAATCTACACTCTTACTTCTAAAAGTTGAGAATTTAGACCCAACATAGAATGAGAGAGCTGTAAGTATGCAAAAGCCTATAGTCATCATATTATTTATCTAAAATATTGAAAAGTAAATTGATGTAGAACGAGAGCGGAGGCTGGCAATAATCTGAAACAATTCCTTTCAGGAAATCTAAAACAGTTCAGATTTTTCTCCCAAAATCTGAGAGATTAGTCGTTGGTGGCTGCAGGAATCTGTGGACAGCAATTTGCTGTGGGTAAAACAGCAACTTGGAAGCTTCAGGTTGCTGGAAACCCAAGGTGAGGTCTTTGGAGAATTTCAAATTCTACTAGGGAGAGGAAAATTAACTCCAAATTCCTTCCACAAAAATTGAATAATTCCTTAAGGGAATCTGAAATGCTTCATATTTTATTTTTCTTTTCTCTCAGAAATCTGAGTGGAATTCCAATTCCCAATGTGGGGGAGGAACGTCTTAGCAGCAAGAGTGTCACGTCTTGGGGAAGGATGGCTAAGGGAGAGGCGGTGGAAGCCAGGGAGAAGGTCTGCGGTTTTGGAGTGGGGAAAAGGGATTGATTTGTTTCCTGTTTGAAATTAAGAGGAGGAGGGAGACAGTGGAAACAAAGTAGAAAAAAAAAACTGTAGACTTTCTATTTCCAAGATCAGTGAAGTGATTTGGGAAATAGAAAAGGAAACAGATTTGAGGAAATTTGGCTATGATCAATGTGAGGAGAAAAGGAAATAAATATTAATTAAAGTCAAGGGAGGTTACGGGAATGAAGAAGTGAATTAGGGAATTAACTCCCAATTCCCCTCTACATAATTTGGCATATGAGGTTGACGGGAGTATGGGGGAGCAATTAGGGAGAAAGGAATTAAATGTGAATGTCTGCCAAGGTGGAGGTGAGGTTTAAAACTTTCCAAAAATGGAATGACAAATTAGGAAATATTTCAAATTTCAAATTAGTGGATTTGAATTTTGAAACTGCCCAAAATTAAATCACCCAAATTAAGTATGAATTACATCATGAATGAGATTCAATACTTTCCTAAAATAGCTTTCTAATTTAGCAAACTATTTGAAATTCAAAATTTGAATTTCAAATGATGAAAATAATTTCCTAAATTATTTGAACTCTTTAGGTAAGCATTAAGGTGACATTGACTCATTCATGGAGACAAACAAGAGTGGTCGGCGATGGGCTTGGCTCGGGTGGGGCGGTGGAGGAGCTAATGGAGAAAAGGGGAGGGGCTAGAATCCGGCGGCCAAACGAATTATGGGGAGGAGGAAGAAGATGAATATAACGACAAGGAGCAATTAGAAGGAACAAAAGAAAATAAACAAAATATCAAAGATACAACTGCGAGCCCGGACACATCCTGCGGCTGACGGGTACTACATGGCCCTCCTCCAAGGGACTTCACGCCACGAGCTCGGACCCATCCTGCGGCTGGTGGAAACTCCGACTCCCTCCCATAGGAATTTCACTAACGTTCTCTCCAAAGAACACAAGTGCAAACAAAATTTTATTAATAATCAATCATACCTAATACTTGAGAAGGGGACTCTATATATAGGCCTTAAAAGAAATTAAAATACACATTTGCCCCTTGGGCTTACATAAGACAAGAGGGTAAAAAGAAAAATTGCACAATTAAATCAAAATACACTTAATAGACTAAAATAAAATGATCTCGGTCGTCGATCTTCAACTCCTCCTCGGATAGGCATGGACGGTTGGATGTCCGCATCATTCTCCCGGGGTGGAAAAGACTCGACTCCGACGAGTTCGCATCTCGGGTGAGCAACCATGCTCTGATACCAAACTGATGTAGAACGGGAGCGGAGACTGGCAATAATCTGAAACAATTCCTTTCAGGAAATCTGAAACAGTTCAGATTTTTCTCCCAAAATCTGAGAGATTAGCCGTTGGTGGCTGCAAGAATCGTGGATAGTAATTTGCTGTGGGTAAAACAGCAACTTGGAAGCTTCAGGTTGCTGGAAACCCAAGGTGAGGTCTTTGGAGAATTTCAGATTTCTGCTAGAGAGAGGAAAATTAACTCCAAATTCCTTCCACAAAAACTGAATAATTCCTTAAGGGAATCTGAAATGCTTCATATTTTATTTTTCTTTTCTCTCAGAAATCTGAGTGGA